GGGGGGGGGAGGGGGGGAATCCCCGAAACCACCACAGACCGACACCTGAGAAGAACAACCGCTTACCTCCACGGACTGGAAACAAACCCGCTTACCTCTGCAACCCTCAAACAAAACCGCTCACCTCTGGGACACGCAAACAAAGTCGCTTAAATGACTTTTTTAGACATTTTGAGATGCGGGTATCATTCGAAAGAGAATTTTTCAGTGATCATTTTGATACCCGTAACTCAAAATGTGTTAAAAAGTCATTTAAGCGGCTTTGTTTGCGTGTCCCAAAGGTGAGCGGTTTTGTTTGAGGGTTGCAGAGGTAAGCGGGTTTGTTTCCAGTCCGCGAAGGTAAGCGGTTGTTCTTCTCAGGTGTCGAGACCACCAAGGGGGGGTGGGGGGTGGTCAAAACCCGCCTGAAACCCGTCACTTGGTTTCAGTACGTCCCCTTACTTTTTCATTTTGAAGCGAATTACACACCTCTGAAATTGTGCAATTGCATAAAGTTTGCATCCCTAGTGATGATTTCCAAATAGTACATGAAATGCAATTTTTCAATTAAATTTTACAATTTTCTTCAATTTTTTACGAACGTCAGTTTTCATGAGGTTTTGCAACTCGTATTTTTTGGCTGAGCGATAGCGAAGCCTATTACTCCAGTGATGATGAAAAAGTTTCGCGTCTGTCTGTGTGTCTGTTTGTCTGTAATCACGATAACTCGAGAACGGTTTAAGCTAGGTACCTTAAATTTTTAGCGTAGCTTTTTAGCATGAAAAGCAAGAACTGTATTGATTTTGAGCCCTCTAGCTCAAAAATTGACCTGTCCAAAAAATCAAAAACGAAAAACCCGAAATATTATTTTTATTTTCTATTTTTTTTACATCTTTCTAAGACGTAACTCGTCAAAGTAGAACCCTTTGGGCCAAAATTTTGTCCGTTTGGCTCTATCTCTAACCGTTTAGTCGCAAAAGGGCGATTTCCACACAAAAATGACCCCAAACCATTTAAATGTTTTTTCTCAGATATTTGATGGTCTCTGGTGGGCCAACTCATCACCATAAAATCCAGGGGGTAAAATTTGCATTCTTTGGAGCCGACTCTGCCTTTTGCCCGACTCGGGTGTCAGCGCCGCAGGCCTAGGTAGATGTATGCCAGGCGCGTCGCAGCGTAACAGTGTTTCGTGAGATATCGCGAAGCCTGTTACGCGAGACGTGGTCTGGCGTACATCTACCTAGTATATATATTCTTTATACAGTCCACTAAAAAAAATAAGAAAAAGACGTCAATCACTCATTAGCTGAGCGATAGCGAAGCCTATTACTCCAGTGATGAAGAAAAAGTTTCGTGTCTGTCTGTCTGTGTGTCTGTAATCACGATACCTCGAGAACGGTTTAAGCTAGGTACATGAAATTTATGATGTAAATTTGTATCATAAAAGCTAGAACTGTACTGATTTTGAGGCCTCTAGCTAAAAAATTGATTTGCCAAAAAAATCAAAAACAAAGACCCCCAAAAACTTACTTTGAAAAATACATTTTTACATCTTTCGTTTAAGTTCCCACGTACCAAAATTTTGTCCGTTTGGATCTATCTCGAACTGTTGAGGAGCCTAAGTAGAGGGCGACTTTCATACGGCTATCACCTATTAACATTGGAACGTTTTTTCTCAAATATTTGATGGTCTCTGGCGGGATAACTTCTGGGGCCAACGGCTTTTTACGACTGTGCCTTTTGCCTGACTCGGGTGTTAGCGCCGCAGGCCTAGGTAGATGTATGCCAGGCGCGTCGCAGCGTAACATTGTTTCGTGAGATAAAGCAGTGCCTGTTACGCGTTTTTAGGGTATCATTGGTGTCACTCCTGGACAACGAAACGGCTGGTGCAAATCCTGTTTACTATCCCTAAGGGGGTGAAGGGGGGAACAAAGAAAAAGGGGTTAGTCCAAAAAGTAGGAAAAAATATTTGTAACTATTTCCTATGGGTTAACTTTGGGGTAAAATTTCGTCTGCTTAGCTCTATATCTTACCGTTGAGACGCTAAAGGGGGTTTCTCTCACAAGAGTGCCCCAAAAATAAATATACTATTTTAAGGAAGTATTTGATGGTCTCCAAAGGGGTTAATCGTGAAAGAAGAACCCCCTGGGCTAAAGACGTTCGTTTTGACGTTTAGTCATTGGTTTGACTTAGCATAACTAGGAAATTAATTGAGATAGCGATCTGGGAATTTTAGGGTCGTCTTGTATTTAAAAAAAGACAGATCGAGTTAGAAGATGGGCATTCTAGCTCAAAAAATGACTTTAAAAAAAATCAAAAACCACAGGTCGCAAAATGTATTTTTTTCAAACATTTTTTTACGGGTTCCTAAGGGGTAACTCGTCAAAGTAGAGCCCTGTGGGCAAAAAATTCGTGCGTTTTGCTCTATCTTGTACCGTTTCGGCGCTATAGGGAATTTCTTGGCGAAAACAACGTGAAAAAGACAAAATGGTCTATTGAATCGTAAACAGGATTTCATGTCACAGAATTGTAAAGGGAGTAATACTGAAACCACAGGTCGAACCATCTAGTTATCTAGTATCTCTAAAACGTTGATTTTTACATAACAATCTGTCAAAATTCGAACTTTTAATTAATGAAAACCTGTTGTATGTCCCTAATTTTAGAGTAAGAAGACCCCGACAAATGGTTCGAGTATGTCAAATTTTAGGCCCGGAAGGCCCTGTTCCCCTATACCCTCTCCTTAACTCGTCTCGGGTGTCAGCGCCGCAGGCCTAGCTATATGTGCGCCAGGCGCGTCGCAGCGTAACAGTGTTTCGTGAGATATCGCGAAGCCTGTTACGCGGGTCGTGGTCTGGCGTAGGCTACGAAGTAGACAGCAAAGGTACCTGGTAAAATGATGGTTTAAAGCGAGCCGCCACTGAAACGGGCCGAAGGCCCGTCCCTAACGCCCGGGCAGGCCAAGGTAGGCCCGCTCCTTGCCGAACCGAGTTGCCGGTGGTGCAAAGTGGAGCTGGCAACCTGGTTTGGTGGGAGAGCGGGGGGCCTAGCTTGTTTTATATTATTTTATGGTTTCCTGGCAACGCGTTAAAGTAGAATCCTTTAGACTAAAATTTCGTCCGGTTGGCTCTATCTCTATCCGTTGAGGTGCCAGATGGAGTTTTCCACACAAATATGGCCCCAAAACGTTTTTCTGGTTCACCTCAGTTATTTGGTTGTCTCTGGTGGGGTAACCCATCAAAATAAGATCGTGGGATGAAATTTTATATTTTTGGTGGCCGACGGCCTATTTACGTCGCTCCCTTTTGCCCTACTCGGGTGTCAGCGGCGCAGTCCTAGGGAGATGTATGCCGGACGCGTCGCAGCTAGTGTTTTCGAAAGCTAAAATGCAGATGAATGCGGGGAAGAAGGAAAACGGATATCACTATGCTTTAGCATAGTGACTTCCGTATTGTTCCCTGCATTCTTCTACGACTCATCTTTACCGGAATGCTTTCCAGCTAGCCCGACGCTTGATAGCGTTTTTACCCGACCCAAAGATTTTACCCGACGGAGAGACAGCTTCCGAGTCACCGGCCCTCGGCCGCACGATACGCACGGGTGTGTCGCCACCAAGCTCACAACCGTGGCCAGGATCGACCAGCCTGAGTGAGGGGCGAGGTTTCGGGGACCGGAGGCGCCTTACTGAGGCTCGGCAAGCCGATGTAAGTGTCGGGCGAGCCTTACACGACCTCATCGTGTGACGTGAGCGATGGAGTCAGTTGCCAGCCACACAGTCCCATCTCTTTTTGTGCCGGGCAAGCGCTGATCTCATACCCGCCCAATCGAAAACACTATCGCGAAGCAGCAAGAAGAAAGACCGTCGTGTTAGGTCTGAATGTATCTTTTCGGTTTCGGGGTGCTTCGCATTGAGGCAATAATTGGGTCTGTCCTTATGAATAAACCTTGCATGAGATCAATCAGACTCAGACGTCGGTTCGATTCGTGGGTGTGATGTTCCCGCATGTCTGATGTCTTTCCTGACTAATTTGGGTGCCTCCTCTTTTGTTAAAATGGATAGCTTTAGTGCGCAGTATTAAATTAAAGAGTAAAAAAAAAAGAAGAAACACATTGATTTTACCAGAAAGCGTGCCTATTGGAACTGGAAACGTATTGATGAACGCTGCACCGTGTAGTAACACGGCGCGCAGAGCAGAAGGCATGTAGAAGAACTCGTATTCTTTCACCAAATCCTTAGAATCTTTCAATGTCTAGCTACGGCCCTGATGATCCATTAGTAGTAAGGTGGCGCCCTAAGAATCGATCTGGGAGTAGCTAGAAACTTAAAGATTCAACAGTAGACAGGTGGTGCCCTCAGAAACCATCAGGTGCTATCTATAGGACCCTTGACGATCCATCAGTAGCTAGGTGGCGCCCTAAGATTCTGTCAGGAACTAGCTAGCGCCCTGAAGACCCTTAGTTGTCAGAAGAGGCCCTCAGAATCCAACCGGCATTAGCCAGGCTCCGTAGGATCTATCAGTAGTCAGATGGCGCCCTCAGAATCCATGCAGCACTAGCTAGCACCCTGAGGATTCATAGGTAGCCGGGTTGGGCCTATCAGAATCCACTGATCCCAGGGATCCTTAAGTAGCCAGGAGGGGCCGTCAGAATTCATCTACACTCTAAATAGGGAAAGGACAATTTTTTTATGTTCCGAAGCACGTCACTAGCGGATGCAAATTTATTGCTAAAAAGATACAATTCGTACCCAGACTAGGTACACATGACTTTATTTATGTCTTATCTACCTGCAAATTTGCATCCGCCAGAGATGTGCTTACGAACGCATCTCTCCTAGAGACAAAATTTATCTTTTCCTTAAGTGTGTAGGACTAGCTAGACCCTGAGGATCCATCAGTAGCCAGGTGGGGCGCTTAGAATCCATTAGGGACTAGCCTAAAGATCTATCAGTAGCCAAATCACACTCTCAAAAACCATCGAGGACTAGCTAGCACCCAGAGGATTCATAACCAGCCAGGTCGGGCCTCAGGATCCATCATGGACTAGATAGGGCCCTTAGGATCCGTAGCCAAGTGGCGCCTCTAGAATACCTCTGGGATCGACTTCCTAGAAACCTAAAGATCCATCAGTACCCTGGTGGCACTCTAAAAATCCGCCAGGGAATAGCTAAAACCTAAAGATCCGTCAGCCAGGTGGGCCTTTAATCGATTAAAACCATTCTAAAAACAGAAACACAACAATGCCTGACTTTGGAACACTTTGGGGAATCGTCTCCTAAAACAAAATTGTGACGTAAACTTCTTGCCTACTTGCACGTGTCGGTCGGTTACTAGCGTTGCAGCAGAGAGCCCTACCGTCTGGCTAGACCAAGGAAAAGCGGTACAAATTCGCGAGCTGAAAACACACTGTTAAAGAATTACACGTTACGATTTTTGGAACTTCTAATATTGAGATTCAGCCTCGTAAAATCCCTGGCATGTTTTCGTTTGACCACTAAGTCGTAAAACGCAGTGTCGTGCAAACTGGGTGACTGTCTGCAGCTCTGTCAGGCTTTTAAAGCTACTGGCGCCGTCACAGGAGGCCTAGAAACTCGTCGGGCAAACACACCCACGATGGTCATGTTGCGCCAACTTCTAGTTCTGCTGCCTCTGCTGGCCTGTGTGGCCGCAGCGGAAAACGCCTATTGTAAAATTTGCAAGGACCACCCACTGTGCAAGTATACGACGACGCCTGGCGCAGCTTGCAAGAACTACGTTGCTCCGCGTATGTCGAGTAGCGACAAGGAGCTCATCGTGAGACTGCACAACGAATTCAGAAACAAAGTAGCACTCGGTCAGGAGAAGCGAGGCAAGGGTAACCCCCAACCCTCTGCGTCCAACATGAGGAAAATGGTATGTTAGAAACTGGGCGTTGTCCCTGTAGTCGCTTCTTGCTTCAATCTGTCACGAAATTCAGTGACATTTAGTGGAAGTTCCGGAATGGTCGGAAATTCTCTTTCGGATGATACCAATATTAAGATTTCAGTGAAAACGCGACTTAAGCGGTTATCCGGAGCGCTAAGTAAGCGGCTGTCCGCCCGCAAGCGGGGAGTGGACTGAGCGTTTTCTCACTGCCACCGAGGCAGTGGGCGGTTTTACACATGGGGGGTATCGATGTTAAACCTTTAAAAAACCGCAATGTACTGTGATTGCTGTGGATAGCTTTTTCTTGATTCTAGGATTATAAGATCCAAATAGCTGCTTTTTGCTCCAATTTTCCAGTTTCAGTCCTATCTCACATAAACGCTTAAAACGGCTCGCCCGTTGCCAGTAGAGCCGTGTGACGCCACGACAGAAGAGAACAAAATAAGAACTAACCTCCTTTCCTGCAATATCAGTGCCTCCAATAGTGCTGGCTGTCACGGGCTCTTGATCCTGCGCGAAATTGATTGAAACAGCCCGTGAAAGCCCGTACTGGTACAGTACTCGTACTGAAATTTCAGTGTGTGGTGCACCTACACGAACATTTAGTGTCTCAGTTAAAGCCTGGAATCCAGTTTATACCAGTATTTCGTTATATTTTATTGCATCCAATGTGTGTCTTCTTTTTGTTTGTTTGCCACAGTCTTGGGATGATGAATTGGCGACAATTGCTCAACGTTGGGCCGATCAGTGCATCTTTGAGCACAGTACTTGCATGAGCACACGTAAGTTACCACCGGACGCGTTTCAGTCACTAGACAATGACGCCACAGTCCATGTTCAGGGTTCTTAAAATTATTATCTTGGTGAGAATGAAGGCTATCCGCCATGCCTCTATCTGGAGATTTCTGGAAAACCGGGAGAAAACGGAGAACGAGATCCACATCTAGATCGCCAAGACTCGAGGAGACCACGCTAAGATCAAAGATCTTGTGAGCAAGAAATACGTAACCAACCAGCAACAAGTGGGGTGGATCGTCCAAAACTACCAGAGCTACAATAGATGTCATTGCCTGGTTATTTTACTCCATGGACTACTCTCATAGGGGCATTATGGCAGAGGACATTTCAATAAGTGGACATTTCATGCGTGGGAACATTTAGGGGCATAGACGTATAGATATTATAGACATTATGTCGTCTGGCCGTTATGTGGTGGAAGGGACAGAGTTGGGAGTCACAAGGCGAGGTGAGGAGTACAGCTCGAGCGCTCAGTATCAAGTTGGTGACGTGACCCCCGGACCCGGACGCCATTTTGACCGTGCGCATCTCCCTACCACCGAGGGGGGGAAAATAGGGTGTCTTGTGAGCGCCTAACCCAAATCTATTTTTTTAGAAAGGTTGTGTACCTCGGGCGCCTAGCATACATATTATTTTTTCGAAGGGTGTGTTTGGATTTTAGACCCAATTTCTTTGTAGGGTATGTTCTGAGCGCACACCACGGAAAAAATACGTTAGTGCTAAGGACAGCTGTATCACCCTCAAGAACACCTTTATCTTGGAGCGTTTCTAACAGCACATGCTTATATGTACGACAATGGTCCTTCCTTGGCCTCGACGAGGTAGCTGGCTCAAGAACATTCCGTCGTTCGTTCGTTCCGAAACAGAGACAGTGTCGCACGGTTAGCAACAAAAATGTTCTTGAGCCAGCAACAAGCCTTGATGACCGGCATGTCCTTAGCACTAATGTATTTTATTTTATTTTCAGAGAATTTTAACAAAATTTTTGAAAGCGTCAATTTTTTGGGTTGTCTAACATAAACCTAATTTTTGGGTTGTGTAGCCCAAGCCTATTTTTACGGTAAGATATCATTGGGTGCTAAATCCTGCATCACCCCGCTGCATCACCTCGCTGCATCGCAAAACCCATCTTCACCCTCTCGTCCCGCCCTGCCCACACCAACCTGAACTATTGTAGAACATTTTAAATTGCAATTTTGTTTCATTGTTAACGAGGATTGTTAAGGCATCACAATCTGTCGAGTACTGTAGCTTAAACCGTGCGCGCAAGCAGGAAATTTTTTAACATAGCTTGTGCGTACGAGTTAATTTACAGTAATTCACAGATTGTGATGCCGTTTAGTTTTTCTTTGTTAGTACATAAGACTCTTTAGAATGAACTAGGATAAAACTTTTCCGATGAGAACTACGAATTTTAGAACAATAACTACTTTCCATTTGTTAAAATCCGTCTCTAAGAGCTACCGCCCCCTTTACGTTTTGATATTTATACAGGACAGGCGGTACTGCCCAAACTGACCTAACCAAGAGATAATTGAGTTGTTTCTACTCTCTAGGTGATGGTACTGACGCGGGGCAGAACCTCCTGTCGGGTGGAATTGCTCCCGGACAGGTGACCCCCGACTGGAAGGCGGCTGTGACAATCTGGTACGATGAAGTGGCCCTTCGCGACGGATCAAAGAACACACAACCATTCACGTGAGTTTTAGAAAGAGAAGAGGGAGGCAGTTTTAAGGCGTTTTGTTAAGAACGTGGTTAAAAAGCACTCACATGTTTGGTGTATTTGAGTGAACATGCGCGGTTTCTTGTCCGTGTCTAAATACTGCTGTCAAGCAGACGTTAATTTTGTCCCTCCACCAGTAAACACTCTGAGGGGGATATCACTTGCGAAAGAGTTCGTACACCTTCCCCCAAAGTAAATGGGGAATAGTTCGAAATGAAGGCGATATAGAGCGAAATATCCTCAGAATAGTTGGTGGAATAGTCGTTGAAATCCGCCTCTGTCACGCCGGTATTTGGAGTAAGCGCTCGGCCAATCAGGAACCTTTGTTTTCTACCCGCTATTATTCTTACTCCGTTAGTCGAAATACACTATCCTTTCTTACACACTTCTTTTTTCGCACAGGGTTGACGAGACTTTTGAAAACATAGGTCACTACACTCAAGTTGCATGGGCCGAGACTTATGCCGTGGGTTGTGGCTACTCGTCCTATAGAGCAGGCTCGGGCAACAAGCCCGACACTCAGCTGGTGGTTTGCAACTACAAGCCCAGCGGTAATTACGGAGGTGAGGTTGTACCAGGGAGGCGCTCCAGCATCGAAGTGCCCCCAGGGCACCAAGAGGGATTCTACTTACAAGGGGTTGTGTGCCTAGCCACGCTTGAACACTGTCAGACTTTACGACTAAATAAAACTATCCGTTCCGTGTTCATATGCAAATTTTTTACAGATTATTTGAAGGTGTATACGTGCGTGTAGGTGTACATTGGGCTTACGTCAGCAAGTGACATAAAAATATCTGCACATAACAACTGACTAGCAGCAACTAAACGTGCATGGTAGATAGGTTGTTTCATTTTGAAGGGGTCAGGGCGTCAAATTTTCTGAAGCGAGATTCTTTTTAAAGTTTATGTCATACTAGTATTTATGAAACAAACCCGGGGCCTGTGTGATAAGGAGACACAAGGCGCAACCCGCGCTCAAAGTTTTTGGGATTATCTGGCGGGTATCGCGCAGAGGTCGGACATACGGCGCCCTCCGACTGGCTGCTTCGGCTGGCGGCACTGTTTCGGCGCTCACGCCTAGACGCGTTGCGTCTTAGTGGCCGGACCACCTGGAATCGAAAGGTCTTGGTTTGGCCCACACAACGATACCAAGAAACCCCCACTTATTTTCGATAGTTTTCCGTCAGATTCGAGTAGCGTGGTTTTCGAGACTTAGGCCCCTGGAGGCGACACGGTTGCGCCGATCGTGGATTATAAGTTATCCGCCGAAAGTAGACACCATAGGGAATCACCTCGGCACCGAGTCGCCTCCGCCAGCCTCGCGTGCCGTGCGAGAGGAGGCCCGCAACATGGCGAGGCGCTCCGAGCGCCACGAGGGGCCGAACCGAAAAGAGCCCGGCGCCCGGCCATCTTTCGTCGTACAGAGCTCGGACTATGACTAAAATTCATGGCAAGGTGTGTTCTTTAAAATGAGACTCGAACCTCGACAACTTTTTTTCCGTGGGTAGGCCTACCGTTCACGGGATCGTAAATCGAGTGTTCAATCAATTCTTCTGACATTGTCGATGATAATGGTACGAGTACGAACGAAATGTGTCAATCGAATGGGACGGGACCGGCACCTCCCCGACGACCAGCTGACGAGCCACAACAGCCAACAACCCGCGCTACCGAACGTCAGCCGAGCCGGGCCGAGCCGAGCACGAAGACGAAGCACACGAACACCAACCGGAGAGGACCCGAGTCCCGAACCCGAACCCGAACCCCCCACCACCGCACCGATCTTTAGCTCTCGGCTTTCGCTTTAGCTCTCGC